ATTAGATTTTCTTCACTGATATTACTTTCATATTTTAACTTATAAATACTAACAGTTAAATATTTCAAATTATTGCAAATAACTTTTGAAAAGATTCTTTTTTTTCTTAAGAAAAAACAAATCATTTTGTATTTTTTTCATAAACATATTGAATTTATAACAATATAAAATGAAATATGAATAATAATATTCGCATTAGTAAAATAGTAGTGAGTGAGTGATATTATACTTCAGTGCATTTGTCAAAAACATCAACAACATTTCATTATTGATCAACAATGATCAATTAAAATATAAAATAACTTATTGATAAGTGCACATAATTGTGCTCATAATTGTGCTTTTTGTACTAATCCATTATTCGAGCACAAATCGAAACTATTTCAATCATTTTTTAATACAAAAATGAATATTAAAGATTCCCATTGTGAAAATTAGAACAACACATATAAGCGAACAATATCATTGTTTTCGATTCGATCGTCATCAGGCTTTATTTACTCGCTAATATACATGAATATTTATATGAAAATGTTAAAACCAATCAAGGCAATTTGAGTGATAATCACAATGAAATGAACAAAGACAAAAGTACAAGTGGATAGTAGGAAAACAGGTGTACTGATAGTAGTAGGAAAATTTATAAAATATGATAACTAAAGTAGGTCAAAGGTGGATGAATAGAATTCAAATTGCCTTGACTGGTTTAACATTTTCACATATATAAATATTCATGTATATTAGAGAGTATAAAGCCTGATGACGATCTAATCGAAAACAACACTGTTGTTCGCTTATATGTATTGTTCTAAAAATGAATATAAAAAAAAAACAATTTAAATTATTAATTATTTTCAGATTCATGAATATTAACAATTAAGAAAGATAATCAAGTCATCTTTTTTGAAGTAGGCATTCCATACGTATTAATGCAGGCTGGAAAATTATTGAAAAAACCAACAGACCTACTAATAACCCCATAGAAGATTTAAACTTAGAAACTTAAGATCGTAAAATGACCAAAGTGTATTTATTTAAAGAATTAGGTTTCAATTCAATAACAGTGATTCCGAAACTTAAATCAATTTGCTACACACTAAAAGCATCATTCAGTGTTGTCGAAAGGCAGAATGCTATTCTTAGCCTCACTTACCTCATAAATTACAAATTCTAGCTAGTAGTTTAAAAGTTTTCCTTAAAACTACTGATTAAAATGATCACAGAAATAGTTTATATCATAGACTAATGTTAGCCGGAAAACCGAGAAACAATGAATAGTTATTTCTGCTTAGTCTAATACATCCTACTCATTAATCAATAATAAAGTTGGCAAAAATTTATGACTGAAATCATTTAGTCACAACTTGTTTGATGTATGAGATTAACAAATGATAAACTGAATTATATAACTTGAAGTTTTGCAATAAATTACGTCCTGAAATGTGTTAGTTAATAAATTAGAACATGATAGTTTATGATGATTATTATTTTATTATTATTGTTCAAAGATTGTAATTGGTAAAGTTTGAAAAGACCTAATAAACTCCAACATTTACTTAGACTGATATTGTTCATTTATTTTATCAATATAGGGATAATTTGGATCTTAAGTCTCATTGATTTTTGATTGTTTGAGTTCTTTCATCAGAATTTTATGTTCAGTACTATTTGAATATTATCAGAAAGATTATGAAACTTACATACATTTAAAATCATGAACTGGTCTTGATTAGTTCACCTGGACGCACTAGATGGCCTTCTCATCTTGAGAATAGACTTTTTACCAGTGCCCACCGATTGCTTGAATTCAGGAATCGAAGCCAAGATCTCCAATCTTGTATGCGAATGCTAACCTCTAAACGACCGAGTTGGCACTCAATTGCGGTATTGTCTAACTTCAATCAAAAGTGCGTAACTACCTTACATAACTAAACTCTACTGTTGATATTATCTCACTAGAACTCCAGGAATTGAACATTGAAGATAGGTACTATTGGGCAGACTATAATATATCACAACTGTTAATTAGTGGAATTCAATCTGCTTATATATTCGAAGATCGGAGGAAGAGGCTAATACATGGAATGAATAAACTATTATGGGATTGATTAGAGATTCTTGATTTAGTCAAATAATACATAACTAATCAAATTCTAACAGCCATATATGTATGTATATATTGTCAGTGTAGGGTTGTGGAGATTTTTGAATTTCATTGAAATCATAAGCTGGAAGGCTGTTTTGTCCTAATATGGAACTCATCAATGTAAGACCACTATTAATCAGTTCAAGATTTCAGTGGAGCTTCGTAATTTCCACAACTCTATACCGACAATTATTATGTACTCGATAATAAATAGCTTTATGATGAGATTCTCAGCGTTCTAGTGAGATGCCATCACCAGTGGAGTTCAATCATGTTAGGTGTGAAGAATTCACCCACCGAAGACAATAGATGATGGTCAAAGGTTGATTCAAGTTAGACATTAGCATCATGTAATGCAGGCTCAGTCGTCAAGAGCTTATGTGCTAGTGCACAAGACCAAAGTTCCTTGGTTAGATTCTCGTGTGCAGGGACTTTTCATGCATACGCCTAATGAGCCTCATACTAGGACAAAATGACCCTCCAGTACTTCCAGGTGTCCAATGGTGGTTTATCATTGATCAGTTTATGATTTCAATGAAATTATTGACTGAGTTATAAATTTACCACAGATATTTGATTGTATAACGTTGATGAATAAATTCTATTTTAATATTTGATTGATATCAAATATTCTATCTTGAAAATATTTACAAAAAAGAATGTTTACTGACTCTAAAACTAGTATAATTGAAATTTTATTAAACAAGATCATTTTGAGCATTAAATTTATACTCCTATAACATATGTATTCATGTGTCAGTCACAAATCTTAAAAAGAAGTTCAATGGACTTTTTCTTGTTTACTGATTTAATCTACTTATAAAGTTTGAAATCAAAGTTAGTTTTAAATTTGATTTGGTGCTTAGATAAGCTGATATATCAACAAAGAAAACAATTATTTGTATAAAATGTTTAAAATTGTATCATCTGTAAAGTACAAATATTATATTTTAAATATTCACAATAATATTAATGCATATTTTAAGTAAAACTTAAGTTTGTCTCTATTCTCAATAAATAATATTTGTTTAAATAAGTTCATTGAAATCTTTAACACATGGCTATTTGCATTACGGGGTTGTGAAGATTGTTAAGTTACACATTTTTGAAACCATGAATCGATCAATGTTAGACCACCATTAGAAACCTGGAAGCACTGAAAGACGGCCGTTTCGTCCTGGTATGGAACTCCTCAGCAGTGCGCATCCACGACTCCTGCACCCCTCAGGATTCGAACCCAGGACCTTCGGTATTGTAGGCGAACGCCTAACCATCGTGGATGCGCACTGCTGAGGAGTCCCATACCAGGACGAAACGGCCGTCTTTGAGTGCTTCCAGGTTTCTAATGGTGGTCTAACAATGATCGATTCATGGTTTCAAAAATATGGCTATTTGACTTACACTAATAAACTAGTGTTTTTTTGTTCGCTCAAAAATTTCAGGAAACTGAAAATCCAACTCATAAGGTACAATCTATTGAATCATCTTATTATTTATATAGAAAAGAAGAAACACAATCACCAAAATCAATATCACAGACAAAACAACCAAATAGACCGAATCATGAAGAAACTGTAGAATTTAAACAATCAACTCATACATCATATAACTCATATAACTCATATCAACCATATAAACATAATGAACATGAAAAATCAATAAAAGATTCAGATGAATATCCACAAAAATCAAACAGACAGTCTTCTTGGTTAAATGAATCAAATACTATTGATAATAAAAATAATAAGGAAAATACCGATAATGATAATAATAATAATTTGAATCATTATACCAAAACTCAAGAACATAAAACTGAAAACAAAAACAATGAGCCAGCTTCACATAGTCCATCAACTTCTACTAAAAGTCTTACATCAGTATCATTTGTTTCAGGAGCATATAAATATCCTTCACCAAGATCAAATGAAGATAAAGTGTCATCCAAGAGTACAACTAACAATGCTGTACCTTTGGATGTACTTAAAGCTGAAATACAAAAAGAAATACGTAAAGATTTACAGAGTTTAGTTGATAAAATTCAAACAGCTAAATATGAAAAATCTAATCAGCCTAATTCACCTACTTCAAGCAAACCCTCATCAGCACCAGTAGACGAGTCGCCTTCTTCACATGTTGAAAAGCATGAAAATCACCGTCGAGATTATGGATCTAAGCATGAAGAAATTAGGCGTAGATCTCATGATGAAGATGATGAAAGAGAACCGCGACATGATAAACCTTATCGTGAATGTAAGTTACATTCAAATTTTGATATTACTATGGAGGTTTAACTGTAGAATTTGATTATAATTGATAAAAATTTATAAGGATAGAATGATTATGAAGATTGTGTTCTCCAACAACTTAGTTTAGACAGACATCATTCATGGCACTCAATCCTGACCCTAGGCAATATCACTGACTGACTGTAATCAAAATGATAATACATTTTAACTCAGTGACCTGAAATTATTAACCGTTCCGCAAGATTTGAACATGATTGTTCTTTCTCAGGAGAGGTTAGAAGTAAAGGGAAAAAGATATTCAATTGACTCTTTTTTTCAACATCAATCTAGTGAGTCTGTGTTGTTATGAAGTTATCACAGGTATCACAAAGTATAATCATACTACATTTTATTTAATGCTTTGTAGTAGAAGACCAAAATGTATTGTTTCATATTTGTTTATACTTATAAACAAGTCTTATCTGAAGTTTTATCGAAATTAAATTATTCGCAGACTTCAAATTAAGTATTTTAACTAGGTCAATCTAAATGAATACTGTGTATCACAGTAGTGATTCTTATCGGAATGATTTGATTACTCAATGTTCTACCGTCACAAATTTACACAGCTTTGATAGCTGCTGAAAAGTATCGATCATTAGGTGTCTGTTTCGTTGTTTTCTAATTCATCAGTAGTCGGCACTCATAAAACCACTTGGTGTGGAGCTTAGGACCTACAAGAGTCATGGCAAGTCAGTTACATTCATACCGCCTGATTTCATAACAGTTATATACATCACCTACTTTATTCAATTGACGATAAACTCTGACTGCCATTCAAGACTGAACAACTGCCTTACTCTTAATATGACTGATGTCCAGCGTTCAAAATTTCTCATCAAGATTTCATAGATTTATTTGAAACAGATTTTCTGAGAAACTAAGAAAAAAAATGCCTCAATCAACTTGTGAATAATCGAGAAACATTTTCACAAGTAGACAAAAATAACTAAAAGATGCTAAGATCGTTTATCTGTTCGATGTTTGGTGACAGGCAATAAGAAACAATGGAACATGAATTGTGTCAAAACAGAGCTAGTCAAAAAGATGTGTTTGAAATTTTAAGAACACTGTTGTCATGTTTATATCATACACTTATCACCCACCGCATTTCACAGACTGAAATGTTATCACTGAGCTGTTCACGTTTCGATTTGATTTGATAGTGACCAATTTGGTCTCGTGTGCTGTTACGGGTGTGAGGGTGGTTGTCACTTCCCGGCTGACCACACCGTGGAAGGGTGTTTCTTGAAGAACCTGAAAAGGAAGGTTGATTAGTGTTGGTCTTAGAGACCACAAAGTCTAAGGAACAAATGCTGGAGGCCGGTCACGCACGGCCTTTTTATGAGAAAATTTTAGTGTTAGCTCCATTCTTTTAAAAGGTCTTACCGCCGAAGACGGAAATATGTGAATTAATGTGAGATGTGACAGTTTTAGGGTTGACCTTTTCTAACCCTCTATTACTTGTGAGAAGGCAGCATCGCTGCAGATGCTGGTTATCTGAGGGAAACACCTTACTGCTGTCACACTACTCCATCACAGTCAGCAGTAGGACTTTGCTCTCAGACCTTGAGTAGTTGTTTTTAATCTCATCGTTCACCAATCGATCAACCTGGTATGGTAGGACCTACATGAACATGTGTTCCAGCCAATATAGCTCGGTTGGGTGATCATTATAGGCAAGCCCGACCACCACGTCAAGGTAGCAGTTATGACTCAAAATCGTTTTCAATGGTGCAGGTACATCCACTCGTTGTGTTCTATGAAATTCTAATCTTCTGAATTCGTCATCATCCCTACCTTTATCTTTCTAAATTTATCTCACTGTATCATACTTCTTGAATAATATTTTGGAACCCTAATCTTCTCCATTGCCAGTAATACTTCTACTACTCTATCACTATGGGATTTGAACTGACAATTGCATCTCTGTGCTACCTGAACTGATGTACTTATGTACGAAGTTCTACGTTGTAACTGAGTGATTGATTCAGGTCTCGAATGACTTCCTACTAAAGGTTTCAAAATAAACATAACATTTAGAGGATAAAAGAATTAAATTGCATTTAGAATTTTTCTAACTACATATGGATTTTTTAGTGTGCCATTTTAATTTGTAATCAAGAATTTGTTGTGAATACTGTCTTTAACCTCTAACCCGAATTCGCAACAAACTAAGAGATAAAAAAATACAAGTTAACAAACAGCTTTTCCATTTTACTGAAACTCCTTTTAAGCTTTTATCAATGTACACCTGTTATAAGACACTTGGGGTAACAGTTCTCGTTAAAACTCTAACAATCCATATTATCAAACTCTGTAAGAATGCTAAAGAATTTCCACTTATTATTGATTCAATAAACAAATTATCAATTTAAAAATTCAACGAATAATGGCTGTTGAATAATTTTTTATCAACATCCGACTAGGTTATTTGTTCTTGAAAAAGTTTCTTGGTTAAAGTAATTTTGATAGATTTCATCATTATTTGCCCCTTGTTTGATAGATGATTATCATCATGATAGGCGTGATGACGAACATAAGCCTCATGAGCCGGAAGAACGCAAACCTTGGTCAGATAAATATGAACCTCGACCTCCGACAAGAGATAGAGACATGCCACCACCTCATCATCATTATCATCATCATCGTCATCAACACAATCCTCCTCCTCATTTATCGCATCGTCCATTCGCATCAGAGCATGAAAATGAAGCAAAAAGTTCCCCACCAAGACATCCATTTCCCAAACAACAGCACACATATCCTCCACCTCATGAATCACCTAAACAAAATCAAGACAACCCCTATGAACCTCGATTTAATAATAAAGAAGAGCATTTGACTCATCATGATCATAGAGAAGATGATTATCAAACTCCATATCAGTCAAGATCACCACCAGTAAAACCAAAAAGTATTATTCAAGCTGTATCAGCCACTGTCAAACCAACTCATCCATTATATGAATATGGAGCTACAACTAAAATCCTGGATTCTGTATCTATTCCCCTTACCGTCAATGTTGATGGCTCACCGTCTAACGATTGTCCATTCACGCCATGCAAGAAAGTATGTCCAGATGGTTTGTATAAACTTAATGAAACTACAGGTTGTGCAACTTGCAATTGCTGTTCTATGGTTACTTGTCATAATAATTGCGCTCAAGGCTATGAAGCAGATAAGAATGGATGCCCTACATGCAAATGTTTAACATCTTATTATTGAATAATTCAATATTTTATATTATAAACTGTTTAAGAAATAATTTAACAGATACTCCATTATCATTATTATTATATACTATGTCTGTAATTTTTTGTGTTGCTACTTATTAGTAGTACAGAATTTTTGAATCAAATTGAATAAAATATGATTTCAGTTGAGTGAATTCTCAATGCACCACATTAACAAATCGATAAAAATTGAAGTCATGCTTCAATTTAAACTGCTTCAAGCTATTTGACTACAAATTTCCAGATTTAATTTCAAATATTTTTAGATATGTGGGTAGAATATTGTAACCGTCGTGGAAATGAACAAAACCAAGTAATTTTACTTGTGTAATGAAGTTAAGAAATTATTTTATGTGGGATCACCTTTCTAAATAATGTTCCTCATACTTTAAAATCACCTGTTATAACTGAAATAACTTTAAAGAACAAGTTATTAACCACTTTGTTTCCTTCCATAAGAAATCTGTGTAGGGTTCGTCACTAGGGACGCTTGAAGCTATTACGAGTTCATCGTAGTCGATAAACGCAGACGAGACAATTACCAGCGTCCAGATAGGCTACCTTCAATCCAAAGCTGGAGATAGAAGGCTCTGTAAGCGTAGAAAGTATATTCTACAAACACCCAGCAATCACAATACAATCAAGCACACAACTCTCGTTTATTTATACGTCATGGAAATGTCCTTGGGACGGTTACGAAAATAGCACTGCAGTCAATCACAGCCATGGATTTTCCTGGTGGGAAATGAAATCTCAAGGTCAACTGATCAACCCATGCTGGCAAACGTGAAATCCGAAATAAGGCATTTAACAGTCGAGTTTTGGGGATCTAACATCCCCAACAATCTGCAGTCGAAATTCGATAACTTATGTCATCTACAAATAATATGAATAAAGTAGATCTTATTATCTCATATGAAGACTGAAATAGCGGGTTCTATATGTCGCTCTAGTAAGTCTTTTCCATAAACCTATTCTTAACTATCTAACAGTTTATTTAGGGTCATTAGCCTAAGAATTTACTGACAACATTTAATACCATTTTCCTAGCACACTGGAATCCACCTGGATTAACATGCAGAACTACTCATCTGCCATACTGTGTCGTTTGGATAACTCAAGACTGGATCAAATTATCTTCCGAGTACTTTAAGCCTAAGAATCATATTGTCCCACCGTAGATACATTACATACAGTACAACTACGATGTCATGGTATGCTTAACATATAACAAATAAGTATTAATTGACTTTAAATCTTAACTCTAAAATAAACTTCTAACCACAATACTTAACACTAACTTTTGACTCCAACTCGTTATTCTGATTTCAAATCATAAGTTCTAACGCAAATTCCTAAACTTAAATTTTTATACCTGATCTCATCGTACACTGCAAGTCTATGGATTTCTTCATAACTGTAACATGAAGTAAGTACTCTTGCGACAGAGACCTTGTCGAAAGTAAGAATTATACTGGCGTTGGTCAATATGTTTCTGTCATCTATGATGTATGATCTTGCAACTATGGTTTGGTACTTGAAAGGTAAGTCTATGGACTGTAGTCTAGCAGAAGATTCTTTCTCTTTTAATCATAAGTTGTTTATTTATTTCGACTTATCGGGACAAGGTATTTTTCAAGGTCATATTAGGAGTTGCTAAAATCTTTAAAGTTTACAGATTAACCGATAAATTAATATTTTTTTGAGCTAGATGAAGTGATTTAAATCTTTTCTAAATAATGCAGAGAGTTCTCAACTACTTGCAGTTTTACACAAGCCTTTTAACAATCTGACCGTATTAAATTAGTGAGTACCGATTGAAAATTACTCAAGTCTTTATTTCAATTCAGGATCACTTTACTGTTGAGTGAATGTTTTTCTGATTATTTTTCTGGCAGGGTGCGTCACTGTTCACTAACCATCTAAGCAGAGGCTTTATTAAAAGTTCTATGAGTTTTGGGCGCTACAACATCCGCCCAATTAGTTAACGGGAAAATGGTTGGAAGTCTTAGGTATAGCACGTTACTCGAAAATTAGAAACATGAACGATGTTAATGTCAGGCGATTGAAAGTAGTCTAAAAAACCTGGATCTCGTCTTCCCATCGATTGGCACTTAGTCGAACTTTTCGACAGCGAACTGTCTCATTAACGGTTAAATATCAACATAAAAATGAGTGTCAGAATATAGTAGATATTTGCTAACGATGATCTTATTCACTTTTTGAAACAAATATTTTTAAATTTTTCACTTAGCATAGTGTCTTTCACCCGATTAGGACATGGTTTTCCAAAGAAACAAAAAGTGTTAGGAGAATTTCTCCGGTAGAAAAAAAGTCAACCGAATAGGTAAATGTAGCACTTAGTTTACAAATGAATTGATAGCCATCATTGGAATAGTGAGTGGTCATAGGTATGCTAGAACTATATGGAAAATGTTATATTCTAAGAAGGCTTTCACAAATCCTAGGACTATGAATTCCAAACCCCTGTTAAATATGATCAGTAAATGATTATAACAATGATATTATTAAACCTTCACAATTTTGATTTGCTCTGTTCGCTGAATGATTATATTTTGTTCATTTATCGATTACAAACCTGCATTTTTTCAATGGTCAATATTAAGTGTTTATTGGCTCGTTAATTGTGTCCTCTTGTGCAACTTGGTTGTTTGATTACATCATGTTTATTTAGGTTTTATGTTAATAGTATGAATTTATATTTTAGAACTAGATAAGAGCTTGCAAGACTGATAACTCGTAAGCTTGTACTGTAGCCTCGCTATAACTCTGTATGTGACACATTAGAGACCGATTCGGAAAATTAATCTGTAGATGCAATAAAGCCTAGGCATTCACGGTCTATTAATAATAAACAAATAATGATAGTAATAACAATTCAGTTTCTTGATCTTTCAACAATAACAAGAAATCGTCCACTTTTTATCACTGAATTAGAATGTTCACACATCTGTAACGATAGAAACTTCGTCTACTTTTGCTAGTAGAAAGCCAACATAACAAATCTGATAACATTAATCACATCATGATTGAACCACTGTGTATTAGTTCCAGCTTTCTCGACTAAATACTTTCTTCTTAGTCGCCTCAACTGCAACAAACACATTCATTCACTTCTGAACATAGGATTTGTGAAAAAGTTACTAGGACAGTTAAAGGTAAGATTACAAGTTTAAGTGTCTTTCATGTATTGTTCAGTATTGTTCAGTGCAGTAAAACTTCACCAATTTTGTCATTAGTGTTTCCACCTTCCAAACTTGCACCTTGCATATTTTCTCCTGCAAACAGTCCTACTGTCTCCTTCTTAGTCCATTGAGTGATATGCACAAAGATGGCGTTGCAGCCAGTACATATACTATAAATGCTAGGAAAACTAGTCAAGGTCTTGATTCACAGGTTGGTAATAAGCCAAAAATCTTTTTTTTCTAGCAACAGGATGATAAAGTAGCCCAAAATGACACTAGATAGTAAACCTTAAAAGAAGGCGTACAAGTCAGATCACTTGACTCAAATACCGTAAATGGGTCTCTAACTAGGAAATAAGGAGCACACTGTTGCTCAAATTACTACATCAGAAATTCCGGAGTGGGATTTACGCGCATGAAGATATGTTCTAGCTCCTTTTTGAGAAACCTGTTTCTTCTGTATGAAAGAAATTTGATGGTTTGGCGTGAAGTTTTGTTAGTTATATGCTCCGTCCCCACATTATATCACAATAACTTCGATAGTTTTGCAGTGGCTCGAGTCAAGGTTGACCGTGAACACCACTACAGACCAATTACGTTACCGCCTCAAATAGTTATTATGTTATGAACCAAAGACAGAGAGGAAGTTATAATTTAGAAAAGGGCTTATATTTGTTAGCGACCTCGAGGTACCGAAAGAATACCGACATCGTGCCAAAGAATATGGGCAAAGTTACCACGAGCAGTATGACGAAGATGTGTAAAGTATGGATAAATAAGGAGTAAAGTAATCACTGGTACGATTGGTTATGATAATAAATGTTTCTATTCAACCAAGCCCGTTTTGTCCATAAGAGTGGAGTCACTACAGTTGCTGCTTTCTTTGATTTAAATCCGCCTTTATTGTGATTTACAGTTACATCAAACATTAAAACAATGAAAGGACACTATTAATCAAGTTTAATTGTAAGTATAATTTGGCTTTGAGCTAGGTTATTACTCCCAGGCAACAAACAACTCCTAAACATGACCTACTGCTGGACGCATATAAGTTGTTTACTCAAATTCACATGTTGAGGACAATGGTCGCACCACCCGTATTAGTCCTTTTCTAGCATGTTTCTGAGAGTTTCTAGTCTCCTACTTAATGAGTCAATGGAAAGTTCTCAAAACCGTTTTTAGGGTAACAGGTTGCAGGATTTTATGACTCGGTGTGAAAACTTGTATTCCACAGTCATTTTGCTTGTCCTTCCATGCAGTGACTTAAGAGTTATCTTGAGCTTGCACGGAGAAAAACTGAGGATATTTCAGGTCTAAAATCATTCCTTAGTATTCTATATATTAAATCACGGTAGGACAGAGTAAACAGTACTAACTTTTTGAGTTGCTCTGTGTATGATGCACATCGAGGTTCCCGGGATTACTCGAGTAGTTGTCTTCAGTAATTTTTCCAAGACATCTGAGTATCCTTTCTTGACAAATATTTCCGAGTGTACCATGACGCATACCGGTCACAAAGATACAAATAAATACACGGTTATCATATTTTAAAACTTTCTAACGTCATTGGACTATTTTTGTAGCATGAATCATATCCTTATCATTGATATGAAATAAAATCAAGTAATAATCAGCTCTAGCAAGTGGCTGCTGAAGGATGAATTATATTTCTACAAGGCTGACATAAAGCAGACTGTACCACATGATTGTGATAAGTTGTTATAACATAAAATCACCTTCATCCAGGTGACTACAAAATTGCCGAACAATTATGAAATGCCTTTATTGACGTTCTGATTTACAACACCATTTGCATAGATCAAAATGACACTGCTGTATTCAAAGAAGAAGTCTAAGATGTGATTTGACAATTTTGAATAATCTAAAGATTGTTAGGGCAGTAAACTGAAAATGGAGTAACTACCTGTGCACCATCAATGTTTATCACATTGTTTTGAAGAATAAACAGCA